CAAGAGAAGAACCCTCAGCCCTGAGTTTAGGTAGCCTGAATCTTGTATAACAATCAATAAAATGCCTGACCTTTGCCCTGAGGGAGAGTGCTGTCTTTATTATACTAGACAATAAGCATATTTGCTCTTTGTACCAGAGAAGGACACTGTCTCTGTCTTTCAAGGCTGTTTGTCATATATACACATCCTTGTAAAGATATTCCAGAACATTGGCAGCCATTGCCTCTGCTTGCAAGATGTGTAGAAATGTAAAGCACTCATGGAGAATTGTCTTCAAACAATAATAAATTTCTATCTCTATTTGCTCAAGATTGAGCCTATACGTAAAGGCCCTAGCTCTACCCCTTAGCCCATTTTCCATTCCTCCTCAAACTAGGAGCCTTTCTTGGCAATGCTATTGATAGATGTTGATGGGGTAGAGGGTGGGGAAAATTTAAATGGGCTGGGAATTACAACTTTAATAGCAGGGAAGATGAAAGTCAGGAACCCTACAGGGGAGTTACCCCAAGTCTGGCCTGCTACTTGGCTGCTCCTCACCCTTCCCTGCTAAAAGCATCTTCCTTTCACTTCACTTTAATACATAACTAGTAATTCCACTAAATGGACAGTTATTGTAGGTTTTGAAAAATGTAAATCCCTTGGAGCATTAAGGACTCTTAGGTATTCACACACATTAAGTGTGAGTTTGTGTAGGATACTTTCCCTTTAACAGCTGGCTGAGACTGGCTGCCCTGAAGGAGGAGTAATTTTGACTGGCAGGGGAAAAAAGGTCGTTGTGAAGCATGGAGCACTTTGAGGGTACAGCAGGCCTGCAAGATAACATTATGGAAGGATTAAAACAATATGATGTCACTGAGCCCATAGGTGCCAGGGAAGACAGGCACCATAAGGTAAAGAAAGATATAGAGAAAGAGTAGAGAGATGCCAAAGAGAAGTTTTGCCCATTATCAAATTTTACTTGGGGTTGGCACAGTGTCCAAAGCAGAGGAAGAAAAGTTCTTCCTTCTTCTCTTTGGATCTCTTCATTTCACAAATATTTATCAAATATCTCTTGGATATTGGATCTCTTCATTTCACAAATATTTATCAAATATCTCCTGTTGCAACTGCCACTGCTGTTATTAGTAGTTATCATTTATTGCACACTCACTATGTTGCCAGATTTGTGATTACATTGGTGTAACATGGTCAAATAAGACACTGTTCCTGCCCCCAAAGAACTTACAGCCCATTGGAAGAGACAGACAAGTAAGTCAACAGTTACATAACTTAGCAAATGCTATCTTAGAGTGGCATCTAAATCAGACAGGATAGATCCTTGCTTTATGACCCAGACTTCAGACTTCTACTGTAGTTCTTAGTTCACAATAGTGACTAACAGTAGCTAATACTTGCTTAGTGCCTACAGTATGCCAGGACAGGTTTTAAGAGCTATTAACATAGAATCCTATAACAACCCTATGAAATGGGTACTATGATTATATCTTCATTTTACAGAGGAATAAACTGAGGCTCAGAGAGGTTAAGTAGCTTTCTCAGGGTCACAGAGCCTGTGGACAGCAGAGGGTAGCATTTGATTCTAGGCTAGGCCTACAGTATATGTTCTTAGATATCTCCCTAGACTGTCATTGAAACAAGTTTAAACTAACTGTCCAGAAAATATAACCATCATTTATAACTTATTTCTGTGTTAAAGTAAATTTTGAGTCTCAAACTTCTGACTTGAAGAAATTTTCAAAACACATGTTTTTATTTAGGAAACTTCCCGACCTGTGAGAGAACTGCAAGCGTTAGTGATAAATAGTTTATAAGACACTGTAAATTCTGTGTGAAAGGCACTAGAATGTTAATTACCACACCATAAGTTCAGGGATCCTGGTTTTGGGAGTTCAATTGTTCTGATATGCAGCATGTCCTATCTTATTAGTTTATACTGTTAACAAAATTAATCACTTAAGTTTACTTTAAAAAGCAAAGCAAAATCCATTTATAAAAGAACTTCTACTCTTAAGAAGGAAAAAAAATGTGTACCATTAGGAATATTATACCTTTTCCCATGCTCCCGCTCCATTCAGAAAATTGCTAAGTGTAACCACGCTGTGATGCAAGAATTACTGCTCAACAGTTCTTTTTATTAGATGTGTCACATATGGCCCTATTTACATGTTAAAATTGTTGTGACACATTGAAATGTTTAATCTTGACTTTTCATGTCTTTTGTTTGTTTGTTTGTGGTTCCTTATATTCCTTTTGAGATCAAACAGTTCCCTTCTATTATAGGCTGAATTGTGTCTCCTCAAACTTCACACATTGAAGTCCCATACTCAGTATGGCAGAATGTGACTGCATTTAGTCTATGGCCATACCACCCTGAACACGCCCAATCTCGTCTGATCTCAGAAGCTAAGCAAGGTCAGGCCAGGTTAGTACTTGGATGGGAGAATGTGACTGCATTTAGAAACAGGGTCTTTAAAGAAGAGATTAAGGTAAAATGAGGTGATGACTCTAATTCAATATCAGTGGTGTCCTTATAAGAAGAGGAGATTAAGACATAGGCACAAAAGAAAGGCCATGTAGAGACAGGGAGAAGACAACCATTTACAAGCCCAGGACAGAGGTCTCAGAAGAAACCGACCCTGTTGACTCTTTGAACTCAGAGTTCTAGTCTCCAGAATTATGAGAGATTATATTACTGTTGCTTAAGCCACCCAGTCTTTAGCACTTTATTATAGCAGCCCTAGGAAATTAATACAGGACCCTAGGATTTCCACAGAGTTTCCATCCTACCAAGAGCTCTGTAAGGGCACTTCATAAACTTGTTAAGGTAATAATAAAGAAACTGTAGATTTCAAGAATTCATTCAACAAACATTTATTGAACTTGCCCTGCACATCAGGAACTGAGCTAAAGGGCAAGGACAAAAAGATGAACCCCTCGAATCAAAGTATTATAGCTCAAAATAAATATGACCTCAAATCACCCTCAAGGAATTCACCGCTTAAAGAGGCACATAAAGAGTAAATTTCAATATGATGTGATCAGTGGTAAGATCTTGGAATGCACAGAGTGGGTAAGGACCATGGGTCATAGGAACTAGGCTGGGATGCAGGAGGGCTGTCAGATTGGAGGCCACAGCAAACCTAGGTCTTTAGGGAAAAGGAGAAGTGTGCGATGGGTGGATGAGGGAAGAGACATCTCAGGAATGCCATAGACAAAGGCAGGAAAGTGGGAAAGTGTCTAGAATGTCAGGTAATGAGTGAGGAGTTCAGGGTAACTGGAGTTAGGATGTGTATGAGAGAGGGTGGGAGGAGAGGCTAAAGAATTGGGGTCAGACAATGAAGGGCTGGCTTTGCCAAATTTGGGTTTTAACCTGAAAGCAGTGGGAAAGCTGCCAGAGGTTTTTATTGAGAAAAGTCATGTTCAGACTTGTTTTGAGTGTGTTCTCTCCAGTAGTGTGGAGAATGAAATGGTATGACAAGTGGGTTGCAGAAAGACTGGACGGAAGGACCATGGAAGCCTATGGTCTGAGGTGGTGGCATGGGATGGAGAAGCGCAGTCCTGCTTTAGAAATATGTCAGAGGTGGAATCTAAGAGGTCTGGTAACTTGCACTGTGAAATTTTTAACACTTTCATGTGTGCCAGCAAGTGAAAGTAACTTACAGCTATAAAGCACTAGACGATATTTACTTGCTTTTTGCTTTTCCCGTATCACATGTATAAATATCATTGCTTCCCTAAACTGTTATAGACTTATTGTAAATTTAATAAAATACACAGTATTTTATTTACTTTTTAAGAATTAAATTCAAAGGTGCTACATTTCCTTACTTGTGTCTTGCTTACGTTTGGGAAGAATTGTTCCTCCAGAAAGTACAGTATAATTGGATGCAGTTAAAAATAAATAAATTTTATTTTATCTCATCATAGCATGTCTGGTATTTTTGTGATTCTTCCAAGTTGTACTTGCTGGGAAGCTGCCTTGTTTGAGGAAATAGAAAGTCTTGGGGAATACACTCTCCTGGGTCTAATCTGAGATTTCTCACTACCCACCTACCTTGAGTAGTTTACTCAGTCTCTCTAGGCCTAGGCTTTTTCACTCCTAAAAGGATAGATTCCTTGATCTCTAAGAGTCCTACTGACTAAAATTCTGTAACTCTTTCCTCCCAGAAGTTTTAAAAAAGAGACTTTAAAATTTTGCTGAGAAATCTTTCTTGGAAAGTATATAAATCTTGTGAGATGCTTTCAACATTCATTAAAAGAACTGAAGCATCATGCGCGTCTAAAACATTACCATTCTGGGACATGAAGGCACGCAGGGAAGTGTACTTAACCCTCTGCAGGTTCAACTAGGGCTTACAGGAAGTAACACAACGAACAAATGATGCTTTTTGAACAAAACTGGAGAGCTGAATGGAGTAAATACGACTGCTGGAAGATTAACAAGCCAGTGGATTCCCTTTTCCCTTCCTCAGAAAACTTGTTATCTGCAGATGCAGAAGGGCCTAGATCTCTGGAAGAGGAAAAGGACCGCGAGGAGGGGAAGTTTCTCCGATTTCTTTACTGCCCACCTGCCGGTCTGATTTGCTCTCCAGCTCGGTCTGATAAGGAACTGATTCCCCCCTCCTCTCCCTCCCCCCGCTCCCTCCCTCCCGTTCTCCGGGGTAGCGACGCTGTCCTAGTAAGTGATGCTGTCGGAGGCAGGCGACGGCACGGAGGAGGCGTCGCCGGCGCCGCGGGGCTGGAGAGCCGTCCCCCGCGCCAGCGCCCCGCTCGGCCCCGGGCTCGCTACTGGCGGCCACGGCCGCGGCGGCTGCTCCCACGGTTTGATGGTGGGCGGCGGCGGCTGCTTGGCTTCGGCTCCCGCCTCTGACTGCTCGGTCGCGGGCCGCGCCGCTCTCTCCGCCCGCCTTCCCGCCCCGGGCTGCCCGGGACTGCGGGCGCCGCGGGAGGCGGGGAAGGGGCGCCGCGGGGCGACCGCGCGGCCGCGGCGGCGGGGGAGGCCGGCCGCCGGCGGCCCCAGGCTCGGACCGCAGCCGGCGCGATGTCCACCAAGGTCAGGAAGTGCAAGGAGCAGGCGAGGGTGACCTTCCCCGCGCCGGAGGAGGAGGAGGACGACGAGGACGAGGGCGCGGAGCCGCAGCGCCGCCGCCGGGGCTGGAGGGGCGTCAACGGGGGTCTGGAGCCGCGCTCGGCGCCCTGGCAGCGGGAGCCGCACGGCCACTGCGCGCCGCCCTTCTCCCCCGGGCCCGACCTGTGAGTACATCCTTCGGGCCGGCGGGGTCTGGGGGGCAGCGCCGCGCGGGGGCGGGAAGGCGCGCCTCGGGCCGCGCCGCGACGTGCCGGGACCTCCGAGCCCCACCCGGCGCGGCCGCCGGGCGACTTCGAGGGCGCAGACCTCGGCCAGGGGCGCGCTCCCTGCAGGGGCTGGCGGGGCGCTGCCTGGGCGGCTGGGGCTCAGTCCTGGCTCGGGCACACGGAACAGCCCGCAGACGGGCGCCCCGACGCCAGACGAGCATCCCGGCCGACGCTCACTCCCTCTCCTCGAGTCGCGGACGCGCGCCCGCCGCGGGGGCTGGGACACGGACCCGGGCTCCCCGAGCCTCCCGGGGAGGCCGAGGAAAGGCGAGGCGAGCGCAGACCCAGGCGCGCCCTCGACCCTGAACTCCCGGGGTCCCAGCCTGACACCACCCTGGGGACGTGGGTCCCCTCCGACGCTCGGGCCGGCGGGGCGGGGGCAGAGAAGCGGGAGTAGGGAGGCGACGGGCGCGACACAGGGTGTGGGCTGAAGGTCCGGACGCCTTGTCTCCCTGTGGTCCAGTCACAACTGGGGTAAAACTGGAAGCGAAGTCTGGGGTTCCCGGAGGGGGGAAGTGGGCACCGGGCAGCTGTGGGAGTCGCTTCAGTGATAACTTCGTGTGCGGTTCTCGGGGGCTTAGGGTCTGTGGCTGTTTTCCTTTTTTTCCCCTTTCCTATCTCCTTTCCTTTCCTCTTTCTTTGCTCTTCCTTCCTTCCTTTCTTCTTCTTTCTTACGTTTTCTTTCCTTCCTTCCTTCCCTCCCTTTCCCGCCCCCCCCCTTTCTTTTTTTCTTTCTTCCTCGAAGGAGCGGCCGGCGCTCTAGTGTGTGAGAAATAGCAACTTTTCTTAATTTTCAATCTGGGAGACAGCCCTTAATCAGCTGTGAGACGCAGAGGAGGTAAGAAGAGGGTGGTCAGTTTTACAGGGTGAGCTGCTCTGCATTTTTCTCGTCACGAACCCTGGGCGTGACGAGAAGCCGCACAGGCTTCCCTGTCTTTTTTAGGAGGAGCCCACGGAGCGCTAGGTAGAGAGCGCGCGTGCGGTCGGCCGGCGGGCGGCTCCGGCCGGCGGGGCGGGCACCGAGGCTCGGCAGCGCCCCCTGCTGCCCGAGGGCCGCCCGCAGCCCGGGGCCGGGCCTCAGGGGCGACCCCGGGACGCACCGAATCGCGCGCCGGCCCGGCCCAGCCCGACCTGGCTGTGGGAAACAGAAACTACCGATGGCTGGGAGTGGGTCCCGCAGGGAAGGGTTCTGATTAAGAATGAGCAACGCGACTGCTGAAGACTACGATGGCGTGGACGCGGCCCAGGAAATGGAGGGAAGGTACATCCTTTGGGGTTAGCTCGCTTCCCCGACTCCCTAAGGTTTTAAGACATTGTCCGTTTTTCCTTTGGCCAAATCGTTTTTTGTGACCTACCTCAGTTTCTTGACTCTTTCACAATTCTTTTCTTTTTTACCTTAAATCGAGACTAAATGGGACGCCCGAACACTCTCATCTGAGAAAGTAGGGCGGAGCAGAAATTACTTCGCCTTTTGAAATTTGAGGTCAATTACACAAAGCCCTGGGGCAAATTCTATTGTAGGCTTGCTGTCTAACTTCTGATGGATAACTTCTGATCTTTCCTCTTTGGTAACTTTACGTAATTCAACAAGTAAATGTGATGTATTGATTTTGTAGAGATCAAGAAGACCCTGTCATTTTAAGGAGATATACGTTAATAAATGTTTTTTTTTTTTTTTCTAGAGGTAGGGCAGCAAGCTCTTCAGGTTTATTTGAGGCCTGTCACTTGGTATCATCAGAGACTAACTTGATGTCTGCAGCAGAGATTAGCTCTTTATTCTACCTTCGAGTAGAATATGGCCACTGTGTAATAAACAGTGTTTATTTATCATTGTTTAAAAGTGAACATGACAGCCCTAGGAGGGACTTAGAGAAAGATACTCAAGGTCATCTTGGTAGGCAGCATAGCATGGTTGAATTTAAAATTCAGCAGGTTGCTGAGGATAGAATCCCACTTTTACCCTCGGGGTAAAAAAAATTCCTCGGGGTAATCCTCTTGCTCATTTTACTGCTCCATTTTTCCAGTATTCCATCTGGGAATTTTAAACAGACTGAGTTAGGAGGAAGAGTGTTATCTACTATACCACTAATGAGATTTTTTTAACCTTTGATAGAACCTGTAATTCAACCATTGAGTCAAACCAAGACTTTCCTTTATTCCAATTGTTTGCAAACCTGGGACCAAGTAATATGTCATCAGAGAGATGAATTCATTCTTGAAATTTTTCAGCTAGTAAATATATCTGATGAACTCCAAAATGGCATTTGAAGGCAGTTGTCATGAGTTTCAATTCAAACATTTCTGAATCATGTAAATGTGCAAAGTGCAGGCTAGGTACAATAAGCCACAAAAACACCTGCACTCAAGGAATTTAAAATCCCATGAGGGAGGCATGGGAATGAGACTAGGCATGAGCGATTATGCTGTGTTAGAATAAAATAACTATCTTTTAAATATATATATAGAGATAGATAGATAGAACTATAAAGTATCAAGTACAAAGAAGAAAGGGACAACATTAGGTTGTAGAGAAATCAAGAAAAGCTTTATGGGTCCTGAAGCATAGATAGGATGACAGGCAAAGATGGGATGGGGAGGGGAATAATTAAGTCAAATTCTGTCTCTCCCCAAAATGCCAGGCATGTCTAGGGAATATTAGTTGAGAATACAGAGTATGAGTAAGGGAGCAGTGAGATTTGACTGGACGTGTTAAGTTTGGGGCATTAATATAGAGGATCTTGTATGCCAACATGAGGCAATAGGGAGCCATTGATTGTTTTGAAGCAGCAGTAATGATCAAAGCCACTCTGAGAGCAAGATGGATTCAAGTGGCAATTGACAAAATGTGAAGAAACAAATGAGGATGTTATTGTAGCCATGTACGCTGAGATTAGGAGCTGTGATTGTGTCCTGTCAGTGGGATGGAAAGGGGAGAGATCGGAAGAGAATAGAATGCACAAATAGAATCTTTTCTATTTGAAAAGATTTTGGGATTTTGCAGCTCCCTAAAGAGAAAGCAGGGGTTTAAAGAGAAAGCAGGATCAGAGATAATTTGGTGATTTTGACCTGAATAACTAAGATTGTCGATATCATTGTTGAGAAGGAAAGAACAAAGAAGAGGATCTGATTTTTCAGATAACTCTGATAGAGGTGTCAAGCAGGAAGATAGAAATTTAAGGTTAGAGTTTGGGAGAATTTGAGAGTCTGCTGTGTAAGGAGAATCGTTACAGAGTTGTGGGAGGCTATGAGATTGCCAAAGAAGGAGTGTGAAGAGAGAAACAAAGACAGCTAAGGTAGTGTTTTGAAGGGAAAAATTTTGTTTAGAGGGCAAAGGGAAAGAGTAGCAAGCAAAGGATAGGGAAAGAGTGGAGGAGCAGGGTGGCACTATGGCAAGGCTACCCAGAGAAAAGAGTTTCAAAGAAAGAGAAAAATATACACACACTTGGCAAACTCTGGAAATCAAGAGAAAAACTTACGAGCCTACTTCTAGTAAGAAGAATCAGTCTTTATATGTATTAACAGAGGCGCACAAAATCATTAGATCTCTCAGCAATGTTATCTTTAACAGAGGAAGATGTCTAGAGAAGAGAATTCTGTTTAGTTTTACTCCAGAGGAAGTGATGCCAAAAATTAGTCATAAGCAAAGCAGTTAATTTGTGTTTGTATACTACTTCATATAGTCATTTATACTCATTAACTTGAATCATACCTCTTTAAAGCAGTTTTTATCATTGTCATCATTTGGAAAATGAGGAAATTGGTACACAGAGAAGTAATTCTGTAGCAATTACACAGCAAATCAATAATAGAGCTTCTATTATGATTGGGGAGCCAAAAATACACAGTGCCTTGTAACCCAGAGTATCTAGTTGTATGTTAGTTTCTGTGGCACTGGCCTTGTGTAAATGTTCCCAATTTTGACTTAGTTTAGCTGTGGGGTTAAGAATAGTGTTGTGTATGGGCATAGACATCAGATTGGAAGTAGCACCTTCCTCCCACCCCTGGATTAGAAATCAGAGATTCTCCAACTAACTGTTGAGTCTTTAGGGGACATGTGTCTGGATTTTGAGGACTAAAGTCAGCCTGACTAGTGTTGATAAGGAAGAGGCAGATTTTTTTCACAGTTGTAGTTTAGTTTTCAAGAGTATCGCAACAGCATGGCATTAGACATGAGGCCTTTAATAATCTGAAACTTTTCATTATATTGTTAGTTTTATACCCTAGAGTAGCAATTTAACTATGTACAGTATGGAGTTGTCATTTTGTTGGTTTGTTTTAAATTATTTTTATATAATCTCAAAGTATTAATAATATATGACTATAGTTTCTAAAGTTTGATAGTCAGCTATTCTGATGGGGAAAAAAGTTAGATAGTGCTAAAAGACATCTAAGAACATCAGTAAGCCCCCAGCAGTTCTCTGGTTCCCTCTCATTTTCTTCCTGTCCCTTGTATTTCACTCCACTGCTATTTTGTTATTCATATTTTTGATGTTATCAGTAGTCTCAGGTGAGAATTTTTTGCTCTTATTACATATACCTCTTAATCTCTCCCTATCTTCCACAACATGGCTTATAACAATTTTGGTAATTCTGGAGAGAGAGAGAAAGAAGAGAGAAAAGAAAGAAAGAAAGAGAGAGAGAGAGGAAGGAAGGAAGGAAGGAAGGAAGGAAGGAAGGAAGGAAGGAAGGAAGGAAGGAAGGAAGGAAGGAAGGAAGGAAGGAAGGAAGGAAGGAAGGAAGCTTCCTTTCTGGTTATTAGCTTATTTAATTTCTTCATTGTTATGACCATATAATCATGGTTCACTGCTAAGCAAAGTAGTGTAATAAAACTACATTTTTTTCTTTTGATAATTACCTGTTTTTCTTGGAGTATATATTTGTCACATCTTGTTCTTTCT